TCAGGCATGCAGTGAAATTTTTAAGTGCTTCAATAAGCATTTGTCAAGTAGCAAATAGACCTCTTGAGAAAAATGTTTCTGCCTGCTTCTGTATTAACAGACTTAGGCATTTTCAGTGTCATGAGCACTTCAAAAAGGGCTTGGATTTATTTTGTGTTCCTTCAAGAGGTTTTTGCTTGGAGGTAGACATTAGCTAAGAGAAAGCAGGCAACATTCAAAGGTGGAGATTTTTTGCATCGATTTTAATTTTAAAATGGTTGCTCTGTCCATCCTAAGCAATTAGGCACCACTTACATACACAGTGAGAAAGAACAAACTAAAACTTTTGCACAACTGCCTTTACCTGATCTCATTAAGAAGAGACAGTAGTTTTCTCACAGAGAAGTAAGGAAGGGTGAAGATAAAGAAGGCCTAAACTACAGGGATCTCTACTGGAAGTTTTGATGATGAAAACTATCCTTTATTCTCTTTATTACAAAACATTACACAGTCAGAATTTTCCACATTTCTATTCTTATTCATAAATGTTTTTTCTCACTCTTGGATGAACATACAATATGAACACACAAAGGGACCAAAAAAAAAAAAGCCAAGCAAGAGCAGAGAAAAATATTCTCAGGTAAATAATATAGCATCAGAAAAACTGAGAGGAGAATTTGACCCACTGACTGCTACCAACACCCAAAGAAGTCACTTGAGTCTGTCTTTAAAAACACAGGAAATAAGATATTTCAGCCTTCTCACAAACTACCTGCTTAGGCAAAAACTAATTCTAAAAACCTTCAGGAAACAAAAATGTCGTCATCAACCTGTAGCACTTTCACCCTTTCCATACATTAGTCTTACTTCATTTCTTTGCTCATATTTTCACTGCCTTTCTTTCATCTTGCTGTTGCATTATTTCATCATTCTGCTTCCTCTTCAACCTTATTTTTTTTCCCCAAAAAGTCACAAACAGCACCCTTTTCGGTGGAAAATCCTGTTGCAGAATTTCTGAGAGAGAGGGCATGATTTATGTCTGGAGTGAGAATTGAGCTACCCCTCAGACTAGGCCCCTGATAAGCGGCTTTGGTGGGGTCTGGAAGCCTTTGACGCAGTAAGAATTTAGTTGTGGCGCAGTTAGAAATTATGTTAAGGTAACTACAAAGTAATGAACTATCTGAGTGTGAACTAGGGTAGAGCTGCAGTGTGAAAAGCCTGACCACCTTAAGGCAAAGGTAAACAATGTTAGCTTGCCAATCAGAGTGCTTTTGTAAACGGTAAACTATATGGAAGTGTATATGAACTTCCATCTTCTCACTAATAAATGGAGAACATAGTATTAACCATATTGGTTCGAAGTGCATTCTGTCCTGTCCAGCTTTCCTGTCTTATGAGGATCCTGAGTTCAAAATCCCTCTCAGATCCTGTGTCCTGGGTTGACTCTATGATGTTTGTATCCCCAGTCGTCTGTTCTGTTTGTGCTGAATAATAAGTTTTGCACCATTAAGACTTGTTCCAGGAGTGAAGAGGGGGAGAAGAAGCACAGAGTTTGTTTTCAGAAACTGCTCTCCCGCTCCCTCGTCCACATTCCTGCTCCCGGGCTGTGCTGTCTGAGGACAGGCGGACAGAGCTCTCCTTTGCTTGTAGTCAGTTTTAGCTAGCCGAGGCAAAGAAGTTCCTTTTCTTTGGCCCTGCTCAGACCTGCTCTGGATGAACACCAGAGGAGCAGCAGCAGCAGCCCCTGTGCCCCACCGTGCCGGGCCGGGCCCGCGGCGTTTCCAGCGCCGGAGGGGCTGATCAGAGACTGAGTGAGCTGAGCTGCACCCATGGAAGGACTTTCTGAGTTTGTCTCTCTTTTGGAGCAGCAAGAGGTTTGATTGTTTAATGTTGTTTAGGTTTTCTTCTTTAATAAACTGTTTTTTCCACTTTTCTCCAAGGAGGTATTTTTCCCAAACCAGTTAAAAGGAAGAGCCGATTGCATCTACTTCCTAGAGGAACCCCTTTGGGGATTCTCTCCCAAATTTTCTCTAAACCAAGACATCCTGTAACTCAGTATTTCTCCATTTTCCAGATGATTGTTCTGAACCAGATGTTGGAGAACCTTAGAGATCAGGAAGGATAGGTTCTGACCAAGAACCTATGAAGAAATGTGCAACAGAAAAATGTGCAGCCTTCCCCTTCTACCTTGAAATTTAGGAACTACCCCAAAACACTTAAAAAATGTAATTTTTTTAACATGGATGTTTTTAGTGAATTGTGCAAAATAAATCTGTACAGTTGGACTTACATGGTAAACTTTGTCATTACTGCCATTACTGCAGAAATAAGAAGTAGCAAGAGCAAGAGAGAATTACTTTTTCCTCTAGATGGGGAGCACTCTGCTCAAGAGGCATGATATGAGCCCATTCACAATCGAGTTTCACCACTATGGAGTGGAACCCACACTAATTAAGAAAATGCTGTGGTAATCTGATGTCATTGTTTTCTTCTCAGTTTGGCTGTATAACACAATTGGAAGGAAGTAACAGGTATAAACTGCATTAACACAAACTCACATAACATATATGTAGATAGCATTAACCGAAGTCATATAGGGACAGAACAGGGCACTGCCCACTAGACTTAGTGTTTTCGAGTGTGGGAACAAATGGGTTCCTCAGTCATTATATTCCAGACAATTATTTTCTTGTATTGATATAACTGAGAAGAAAGACACATGTACTGTATGAGCAATGAAGATTTTCTTCAGGCAAAAATTATTTTTGACCTGAAATTTCGGATTCTATATGTTGTACAGTGCCCCACCTGGGACTGGACTGTAGGGATGAAAATCTGATTTTAGTCAACTTAAATTATCTTAAACCTATGTGCCACCCCTGGAAACTCAGCTTTTAGTGAATACAGAACACAGATGTAGAACAAGCTGACTTCTTAGAAATGGGTTCTGATTTCTGTCTCATCCTGGGTATGAGCAACATACCAGCCATGTAACTGGCAATGAGCTAAAGGAATGTCATATTCCACAGGGAGGAAGCCAGGATTTCAAATTATGACCAAGACTTCATAGGTTAAAACCTTTGCACTGACAGAATGAGGAAGTTTGCTAGAACATGGTCAACTTTCAGCAGCTTCTCACTCTGCACATTCAGAGAAAAAGCACTACAATATACATCTAATTTCACTTCAGATAAGTTACAGTCCAGAATCCACACTTAGATGTCTTCTTAGACATGGTCACATAATGGATCTACAGGTCACACAAATAAGGTCCTCTCATAGTTATGGGTTTTTGAAAACAGTGGCTTCTCCCACTTTTATATATTATGCTTATATACATCTGGGGCAATACAGCTTGACTGGTCAACAATGAGCAGTAAGTGACTAAAATATGAGAAGTTCTTAGGCTGAGAAAATTTCTTATTTTGTCACTTCAGCATCCAACACCATATGCATGGTTTCAGTATTGGTGAGGTCCTTCCATGCTGCAGCCTCCCATTTTGTGTCATGTATCTCGTCCCATACTGAATGTAAATGATATAAATATCATTTAGGTGCTGCCAAAGGAAAGAGATCATTTCTGCAAATAAAAAATGCATGAGACAAGCAACTTATTCTACTAATTTTTTAATATTCAAACTTGGGGAAAATGTATTTAATATTCCTAAAAATATTTTAAATTATTTAAAATACTATTTCAAGTATTTAAATCAGATTCTGTTTGGTAAAATCTCCAGAAACAAACTCGTTCATATTAGAAGATAGGCACAGAATAAGCTATTTCCCATACTTAGACATCAGCTTCTTGATAGCAATTTCTCAATTGACAGCCAATACTACCATTTTCTGATCTGCTTTGAAGACCACATGAGATGACATGAGAAGCCAGTAGATGAGTAGCAGGTTTATTGCAGTCTCTTACTAGGTAAAACAGTGGTCTCAACCATCCAGAGCTAAAATTAGCAACCACATGACTTGCGAGTAGCACAAGATGAGTTTTTAAAAATCATAAGAACCAAAGACATGATGGCTTCACATTCATTTACAGAGATAACTTGTGCCCCTGTCTATCTCTTTTCATGCATTTGACCACAGTGCAATTTTTCACAGAATGTTCTAGTCCCCTAATATCCTAATCTTTCCCAGCTACAGGAAACATGCTAAATAAATTCTTAGTTGTAAAAAGAAAATAAAATAATGGAATCAAAACAATACAAGCTTCTGAACTTGGAGGGCTTTTAATATAAAAATGTAAGAATGAATCCTTACCCCTTGCCTCTGATCATTCTTAGCAATGAAAGCAAAACTCCAAAGGCATTTGTAGGTAGAACACAATGAATAGCACTACTGCTCAGTGTCTGAATAGCTTCTGAGGCCCAATCCTGACAGCCTTACTTAGCTGTTGGCAGTCTACAAGTCTTGCAAGACAAACATTATGTCAAAGTCCAAGGGTTTTTTATCTTGTGAGCGCTAAATAAAATTCACAATACAGCGACAGCTGCAGTTTGCTGGCAACCAGAATTTAACTGGTACCCTTAAGAAATGAACTAACATTGTGCTTGGCCCAAATAGCATGCTCCTTTAACTATGTCCATCTAAATTCTTAATTGGTTTATTACATAACTATGCACAAGAATAGAATTATTATGCAATTGTTTGTATTTTAAATCACTGTCAAATATAGCTGATGGGTTTAAGGAAAGGAAACAATTAAAAATCCTGTTAAGACATTTTCCTAATTATGCTAGTTATCATTACAATTATGAAAACAATAAGCAATTCCCTGTAAATAATTTCTATTTCATTATATATTTAACCTAGAACTCTAGGAGAATTTAGACAGATTCTATATGACAAATTATGTGATACACAGAACAAGGCAGACCCCTTAATTGGTCTCTGCTCATCATAGTCTTTGAATGATTCATGGCAATATACAGTAATTAGTATGTGGTTACCAATGGGGACGCTAAGGTAATGTAAAATTTATTGCAAGAACCAAAGATAAAAGCAGGACCTAACACTTTATGCTCATGCTTTACACAGGTTGGATTCCTTCCATGTTTGCTAATATAATTAAAATATGCTGCATTACATTATTCTTTAGAATTAGGATGTTTTTCCTTTAGGACAAGACAAGCTACTAACATTTCACATAATAGACTGATAAGAAAATTTTGTTATTTTAAATACATTGTACTGTCCTTTGCCATGTTTCTATTGGAAGGAAGACATATTTTGAATTATTTAATGGGCTGAATACATTAATTACTAACTTTCAAGAAAAAAAAAAAATAAAGAAAGTCACAAGAATGAGCTCAAATAACTGTTACTGAAAATCTTTGTTGCTGTGCATGCTCTCCCCAGACCCATATTTTTTTCACAGACAAGACATCCTATCCTCTGCAACAAAAATTAACCTAATCTCATCTGAGCTCAGGGTTATATGCAAGATTCTCCCTTTGTGACCTATAAAATAAAACATGTACAAAAGAAAAGGAAAGATTATGCCAGTCATCTTCACCACCCACACTATGGCTTATTCCACTTTACTTCAGCAGAGAAACATGATGCATAGGATGTGGGAAGCTATCATCCTCTATTGACTGTTTTTGTATTTATAAGGAACTGAAGGAAATATATACTTATCAGGGTGTAGGCTTTAACTGTCTGCACTACTTTGAGGAGATACTTCTGCCAAAGGGACACACTGAACCTGAACTATTGCTCTCCATGCATTCACAATGTCAGTCTCATCTGTGCTTGGTAATGTCTTTCACTGCTGAGCTTTTCCATCTGGCTGCATAGGCCCTGCAAACAGTTTGCAGCAGCTGATCCAACAATAATGAGATACTGTCTCCAGCTGCTCACTTATTACTGTTAAAGAGATCTTTTAACAGTAACTCCTCTAAGCCATTTAGTGGAACTGTGTTTTGAGTTTTTCTGCAGTTGTAGTACATCTTGAGAGCTACATGCGGAAAGCAGAAACCTACCCAGTCTAGCACCACAAAGAATACACCAAACTCATTAATGCAGTTGTACAAAAATCTCACCCACAAGCAGACACTGAATTTGAACTGAAGGTAGAAAGAGTCTGGAATTAAATTGAGACTCCTGAGAGCTGCATTTACCTCATTCTGGTATCTTGAGATACAAGACTTCTTGTATCTTCGAGAGCTATGCCAATGCCAGAAAACACATGAGGTTTTTAGGCACATGGCAGCAAGAGAAATTTGAAGCCTTTTTCCTTGAAGTTACTGGACTTTGTCTTTTCTGGTTGAATGAGTTACTGACAATCACACTGGTAAGCTAAACCCCCAAGAGAAAAAAATCTTCTAGGTAGTAGTTTCTAAAGCAGATTAGATAAACCACATCCTAAAAGGAAGCATGAAAGTAAGAAATCATGTATGACCAGCTAAAATGAATGTGAGCAACCAGTGTCCTCCTACTTGTACCTGAGTTCTCCATGAACACAAGAGAATGGCACTCCTCTATCCCAAGATACTGTAAGGATAAATTTGTGGGGAACTGTAAAGCCCTCTGAAACGGCAGTACAAGATGAAGGCCCACAGGACTGTTGCCAATGCAAAGTCTGCTCTTAATTTGTGAAGCTGAGTGGCTCTCTGGAAACACTATGACTAAATGCAAATACCTGCTGTCTTGGTGCTGAGCTACATGAGTTCCTGCTAAACTTTTTTACTTGAATTTCAACACCACTAAATTATTTCAGCAGAGATCAACTTTCTAGCTTTGCTCCTTCTCAAGTTATTGAAATGTACAGTCTTTATCAATATTTAGGAGTGAGATTTTAAAACTCAGTGAATTTTTTATGCTGTGTCTGTTCAGTGTCTGTAATGACTTTGAAGGAAGATGTTGAGTTGTAATCTTTGGAACATCCAAAACAGTGATTGAAACTTGATTAATATTTTAAGCCAAAAAGCAGTGGAGGGCACTAGGGAGAAATCAGACAAGTTAAAATTATTCATTTACATGGCTTTTGAGTGGAATTTTCTGGGTTTCTTTCATTGTTTCAGTACCATGTTCAGGTCAGGTAATTTTCAAAGCAATTACATATTTTGCTTTCATGTATGTTTTCATTGATCTAAGACAACTTTCCTAAGGAGAGGACATTACATCCAAAATTATTCTTTTTCTTTTTTCCTTTTCTAGTAAATTACTCTCATAGTTCTATCAGAAGTATCTCAAAAGTGTTATAAAAAGGTTACTATCTTTCAGTTGTCATTCTGCTCTGGATATGCTAAGTGACAGTCAACCTTAATTACTAATGTGCTCAACTGCTGCTGATAGGTCTTCATTCTTAGCTGGGATCTTCAGCATTTGCAAGAGGCTTAAAAAATTAAATTCAGTTACAGTTTGTCACATGGTTTCTGTGCATGTAAAACTTACATGGTAAAAGGTGTCTGAGGTTGACTTAGAACCATCTAAGTCACAATCATCCATCACAGTATTTATTCTGACCATATTTTTTGATACATCCACATTTTTTTTCTAATATTCAATTGCTATAGTAACTTATTAGGAGTCTTCATAAGCAGGAATATGTCTGTGTATCAATGGTGTGGTCTTTTCTGTTTGTGAATAACACCAGAGACAAGGAGACTTAATAATAGCAAGAAACAACTTCTGCATATGGTGTAGCCCTACAACACCATAGAACAATACAGAGCCATAAGGAAACTCCATTTTCTGTGACAGGGCGCAAGGGAAAGACACTGCACCACATTTCTTCACAGCAAAATCCTTTGTTAAAGCACAGACATGTCTAAACAACACGTGGAGAATTGTTTTAGACATCATTTGAAAGCTGGTTCAGTATCATTACATCATGAGATGCAAAAGCAATAATATTTGGTTTGTATTGCCTAGGTCATCAGCCAGAACACACTGGAGGCCACCTGGCATTAAACACATTCAACCCTGGCTTAGTCAGCCTTAGAAAGAGGTGGAAATACATATCCTGCACCTGGCATGGCCTTAGGAATTATAGGAAAGAATCCCGTCATTAAAAACAAGTCTTTTCACAGAAGTAATTTATACCTCAGTCTTATTAAGTCAGCCTTTACACTCCTATGAATCAGGATTGTGCACATGAATACAAATGTGACTGCTCCTTACTGGTTTGTTTTTTTTTTTTTTACATAGGGTCTGTACTTGCCTTGCAAAACCAGAATTATTTGGCAGATAAATAACAGAAATACTTGCCATAGAATTCTGATTAATTGACAAGCATGTGATACTTCCATATTTTCATCTGATTTCCAGGAAGGTTATCCCATCATCAGTTCACTGGGTAGCCAGATCAAGGAAGAAATGTAATTTAAAATTCTGCTTTCGTTTTCAGAAAGGCTTAACATACATCATTCAGAGATTTAAAATTTAATCTACAATGTTTAAACAAGCTACTGAGAAATAGTCCCAGCAGAGTATTGTTTATTTAGAAGGGTCATTTAATTATCTTCAATTCCTCAAAGTACAGTTGTTTTATTGTCCTATCTAAACATGGTAACAACCAATTAGTATAAAAAATCCATCAAAACACATCCTCATTTAGGTTGTAATAGCTCCAGCAAACCAAGTTATCCTGCTTTACTACAGCTGAGAACCTGCTCCTCTGTCTCCTAATATTCTAACTCCCAGATGTTTCTAACTCCCAGAGAAGCAGAAGATTTCTCTCTAACTCTTACACCTCTCCTCACCCCAGTCCTCTGGGAATTTTTCTTCCACTTCAGCATTTTCTCTGCACTTAGAGTTTTGGTCAAAACTATTATTGCCAGCAAGGAAAGATGGTGAAAATTGTCTGACTTCTATGCTATCTCTTCTTCAATCACTTCTGCATGGAGACAGAAATGGTGAATGAGAAACAACAAACTGCTTCTGAGTCAATCACACATGGTGGTGCTGAATGCAGCAAAATTGCACAAACAGAGAAAATCCTGCTGTTCCTCTCGCTGCAGAACCACCCTCAAAGTCAGTGGGAGTTTGCCAAATGAGCAGAGCTATATAAAAAGAACATAGCCTAAGTATGCAGACATTTCATCATTTCACCTGCGAATCTGTAATTGCACTTTGGATTATTTTCTCACAATCCATGTGCCAGACACACAAAATCCCATCTTTCATTCCACCTTCTGTAACAAGGACTTTTGACTGCCAAGGCCACCAGGTCATAGTCTAAAAAATAAAAAGAAAATAGATGCAAGAATAGATTAGGAAGTCAGATGGAAGAACAAAGGCATTTTAGCTTGGAGTCTAGCTGTTAAAATGAACAAGCACCCAGAATGTACACTCACGGCAGTGTAGAATCCCAAAACTCAAAATGTTGCTTCCCTTGCCCTTGTTTCATAGCCTACACTGTCCCACATACCTTCATAAAACTCCAGCTTCTCTGCTTGCCTTTCAGAGGCCACAGACTCACACGTCAGTACTAGAAGAACCGAGCAGGACAGTGTCTTACTGCCTAAGCCAAGCCATCATGAAGTCTAAGCAAAGTGGCCTACAGGACTTACAAGAGACCTGGTTTCTCCCAGGGTATTTCCAAGATATGTCTAAGGCCCAGAATCTACCTGAAGAAAAGCTTCTCAGAACTCAGTTCCACATGTTTCAATAAATTTCCCTGACCTTTTAACCCCAGCACTACTATCCAGCCTCTGATACTTTTGGGAGAACAAACAGCTTGTAAATACTGGACTCTCCTGCCTTTTATTACTGTTGCCTGACCTGTCTTCCACACAGACAGGGAATACATAAAGACTCTTAAATAATTTCATTTAAAATTTCCTTCTTCAGGTTATTTGTCACCAACAATGACATGAAAATACGGTCAGGAGGGTAAAAGGTACCTCATATATCAACTTAATTGCAGCAGAAGTAGCTCTCCAAAACTCCACAAATCTAAATATCTTTTGCAGATTTGCAATTATTACACCACCAAACTTTTCTGTGAAGGTACATAGATATAAGAAAACATGATGAACATTATTTCTGTTTGGAAATATATTTATAAAGGCCTACTAATCCAGTATCAAAGCCCTAGCAAGCTTATCTATGAAGAGAACTGGTTTTAAAATTAATAGCATCAGAGACAGAAGAAACTAATAGACATCAGTAAGCTACTTTGAAAACTTACCTGAGCAATATGCCTTCTTCACATACTTTAACTGCTAAGAAAGGAAGTATGGTTTTCAGTGTCTTTACCCCAAGGCTGTTAGGCAAGATATTCAGTGTACCACCTCTAGACCAAATTGCCAGCAACAGGTTGGCTAGTGACAATTAGAGGTTGCAAATGCTTTGTTTATTTTGACAACATGGTGCTGAGCAACCTGAATCTCATGGTGATGGACAAATCTCACAGTGAAACACTGCAGACGAGAAAAGGCAGCATCCATTTAATGTTAATGGAACATTAAAAGCAACTTACTATGTTTCTTCTGAAGCAAAACACATCAGAGTGAAACGTGTCTGCAGAACAACAGCGTTTCAGTAAGAGGAAACACAAAGCAACTATCAAAGCACACCCTGACTGACAACAGGAAGGAGCCAAGCAGCCACACCATTCCAGCTGGGCAGAGTATCTGTTGTCTCTCAAGTTTCTTTTCCATGAACATAAGTCTATGCCACTAATCTACACTCTGCTCAGCTGCTGAGCCATTTAATGTAAACTATTTCCTGCTCTTCATGAAAAATCCTTCCACAAGGTAGTTTTTGCCAAAGCCAAATATGACTCCACGACCAACCAGGCAGTGTAAAACCACGTTCTACTGCTAAAGGGCTTTCTGGCAAGTTACTATGTATTCTTTGGTTTTGTCCCTTCTCTTGCTTCGTTTCTCTCTCCCACTCCAAGCTTGACACTGTTGCCCCAGCTGCTTGCTAGGAACTGGATTCACTGTTCTACAGTATCATCAGTCTGATACACTGTTCCAGTATCATCAGTCTACCAAAGGCAGGAAGGAATACTCTGGAAGCACAGCTGCTGTTTAAGTTTAGCTCCTAGATAAGGCTTTTGCACATTAATATGGGAGTTGAACTGAAAATCCTGAAAATAACTTACAATGTATTTTACAATTTTTTATGGATATTACTTACATTAATCCTATGACAAATCAGAGGAGATTCTTGCTGAAATTCACACTTAAAACTTGTATGATGAAATAAAATCAGCAAGTTAAATGTAATCCTTCTGGGTATCTGAGAAACAGGTATCTGACATTACTGCAATAGATTTATTTAAGGATTTTAATTATGTTACTAAGGGTTGGTAACTGGAGACTTTCCCACAATGGCTCTTAAAGATTTTTCAGATACATGTTGAAATACTTGGAAGAACTAAAAATGCACACACAAACCTGACCTACTGCAAGAAATGTCATTGTGTTGTGTTTGTATAATGGACTTTATGGTACCGAAATTTATTTATGGATTCATGATGCTGGGCTGTTGGACTATTTTTAACCACAACAATTACAATGTAATCCCAACGTTAATTGATACTTTGGAAACTTCTATAGAAAAGTTTAGTGTAAGAATGCTGCTCTAATTTTAGTATCGATTAATATTAATTCCATGTAATTTTTTCTCCTTGTGCAGTTATTTTAACTCTGCCCTAATATTAGAATTATCTGGTTAATTTCAAACCTAGAAAAATAAATAAATGTTACCTCAACTTAATGTAGTTCACAGGTTGACACTGAATTTTATTGTCTATTTCTGCTCCAATGTTCTTGTTGTTTTCACTGCTCTGGCCAAGAGGGAATGTGAGCCAAAACTATTTCTTACTGCAGTGAGGTTATGCCACTTGGCACTGGCAGGATGTTACACTTGCATCCTTGTAACCTAACCCACACAGTATAATTGCAACTGCATTTTATTAACTGTTTTTTTCAGCTGGTATGCCTGTACCTCCTTGTACCTCCACCTTACAGACCTCATACAATCACAACCAGAGCACCATGTGAAGCCAAAATAAATCTACCACTGCTGCTCTTACCAAGGGATACTAGTTTCATTGTGAGTTAACAGTGAAGTAAACCTACCCTTGCTATTATCTTTCTGTTTATGTAAAACAGAACACTAACATATGATTTTAAAATCACAGAAGCATTCATCATGCACAAGTCTCTCCTCAGCCCCTTCACATGTGAGTCAAAGATCTGAAACAGAAAGTGGGATGAAAAAAAAACCACAAGAGTACTTTTGATCTTTGTCATCTGAGTCCACATACTGAAATGATACTTAAATGCAAAATATTCACTTACTACTAAAAAATACACTCTTGGCAATGCAAAGGTCAACGACTCCATCCCTTCATGGGCTGTAGATAGCAAAGACCTGGCCTTTCCTTTCAGAAAGCAAGGAATACACAGCTAGAGAGGTGTGCAACTCTTAATAGCTGTGCTTTGCTGTGCATTTGGAAAGACAAATGTAGTCTTGATATGAGTGGAGGGGCCATCTAAGTTACATACTGTTTCCCCAGCACAGGCCAGGTCACGATATTTGAAGTTCAGACCCACTGGAGACAAAATTATTATTTCAAGCTCAGGCTTTGCACAAAACCAGAGTCACAGTCTCCAAGGCATAGTAAACTTCTGCAAGTGGTGACAGTTTTTTGGAAGGAGAGTAAGAAACAGAGACTGCAGAAACAGGTCAAATTCTCTTTGGCTGCTTTCCTGTCATACAATAAATCTAAGGATTTCTGAGATGGGTGAGAGATGGGGGAAGAGGTAAATCACATTTGAAAAAAGCCAAGAAAATCAGCTAAAATGAATGGGACATTTGCCTGAGTAAAAGCAGCAAGGTTCTTTCTGGGAATAGATTTTACTAGTCACCTGCTCAGAATACAATGATTCCAGCTCCAATTACAGACAGGTGGCCAAACATGTTTCTCAGCCTCTTTCTAGTTTCAATGTTCCACAACTGCCAATCCAAAACAAACAAGAAATAAAAATTTGACAGCAGGAAGAAATAAAAATTCATTCCCCTAATTTGTTTACAATTTGGCCACTCCCCAGTTCTGAACTGACATAAGGAAAACTTTAAGCTCATTTATTTCTCAAGTAAGACAATGAATATTTCCAATTTTCAACACCTTTATCAATGATGCAGAAGTCAGATTTAATTGAATGGGTACATACCTGTGAGTTTAAAGCTATTTATTTACACAGCAGTCTTTATGAGTTCATACATGGAAGCATTGTATTTCAGTACCTTAAGATTGATTACTCATGACTGCAGGACGTAGGGCCAGCTCTTATCTAGGACCTCAGCTGTGGTCACACAAAATCCTCTTTTTAGTAGTAATGTCACATAACAACAGGTACACATATATGTGTATAATCAGACTGAAGGCAAATTCTCAAATGTGAACCTAAGAGGAGTGGTTTGAATTGAACTCTAAAGACATTGACAGCTAGAGTGATCTTAGCAAAAGATGTACAAGTAAAACATAACCTGTTCTGAATAAAATAATTCAGTGAGAGTTCCTCTTACTGATGGAAAAATAATCGGGATTGTCACTAGAAAACTGAATTATTAATTCAGTCATCAGCTTTTTTTGTTTTAGAAGTTCTATTACATGAGATTACAACTAATTCTGGATGTCACTAGGTCTGGATGTTCAGTAAGGTAGAATATGATACTAGGAAGTGCTACATATGTTTTCTACAGTGTTCTTCTGTCAACTTTTTCCATTTGTTTCCGTTAAAAAAAAAATAAAAGAAAAAAGAAAAAATCAATATCAAATAGTTTGGTAGCCAGTTTAGCTAAAAATGGGGAAAGACCAAAAAAAGTAAATTATCTAGTATTTGCACTTTTCCATCACTGATCCAAATGCAAGCCACATTCCTTTTTTATCCAAGCCAGACATGAAATGTGTCTGGAATTGGAATTCAAATCAATGCCTTCAACGGCTTGTAGAGTTCATCCATTCCAAATATGGGCAGCAGATCCTAGAGTGACAGCAAAGAAATTCTCAAGGCTCCAGCCCAGCATGTTTAGCTCTAGAAGAAAGCTAGTAAAAATTACTGCAAAAAAATCAGTAGATAATAAGCTGGGGGAAGGGGCAGTATGGTTTGGGGGAGAGACAGTATAGAAAAAGATCTAGAGAACACTTCTATGAAACCTTTACTGGCAAGCATTCCACTTAGATGAAGGAGAATATTTCTGTAAGGTCTTTGTAAGTCTAGTCTCCTCAAATGTGTATGTTTGCACAGCAGCATCCAAGTTACACTTTACCCACTATAATTTTTTAACCTCTCACACGGTATTTTACATTGCCTTATCACTCATCCTAATTTCTTCCACCAGAAATGAGGCTCCTTCTCCGACAGATACAGACCCAAAAACACCTTGTGTTTTCCTGTGACTGAGAAAGATATAGGACAGTTTGACAGAAAGACATATGGTGCAGTTTGTCCACCATCTTTGAGATAATGATAACATTTACGCTGCAGATGGTAGGGGAAATGCAAAAAGTTATTAAGGAAATTCTGCTTCTCATCTTCAGGGCTTGCTCAGTAAATGTATGATGGGAGTACTGCTTCCATTGTCCCTTATGCTGGGCGCATTGCACTTGCAAAAGAAATCATTGCAATAATTAGCTTCAGAACACCCTGTTATGTCATGTAGGTCAGCAGCAGATTGCTGTGTGCAACATTTAATACCAAACCAGGACATTCTCATTTTGCATGACCCCTGAAGCACAGAATGTGCTACCATAATCCAAGGTCTGGCATCATTTTTTGGTAACTGAAATTTCTCTGGAGAGCAGTTGAATCCATCAGCCTGTTTAATTATAGACCTGACTGTTGCAGCAGAAATAATTTCCATAGACCACTGTTGTTAATGTTGTCAATCTTGGGACATACCTTGTGCATTATCAGTGTATATCATACCAACAAAATTTTATCCTGTTCATCTATATCCATGGACACTCACAAAAGTATGTTGGAAAAACCTTCCCTGGGACAATTATAAACACATACACATAAATCGTTTGTTAGATCTTATGAAGTGCTCAAAATCTTCAGACCTGAGGTTTATGTGTGTTCATACATAACTTTTGGAACCAGAGACACCTCTCTCTGGTTTTGCCTCCTCTCCAAAAAGATATAAATGAGAATTTAGAAGGCGTCACCCAAACCACAAACTATGTCACTGCTGTCTTCCAAAAAAGAATGTTTCAAAGTCCACCCAATGAAACTGCTGCTGTGGCTACTGGCTACTAGATGGCCAAGGCTGATTGCTGAAACGTTTAACCTGATTTTAAGTGGAGGTAGATCTATTTGACTTGAAAGTTTTATTGAGATCTATAGTTGAAGGAAGCTGTATGAGAGTTATGTCCTGCAGCATTTCCATTTTATGTGAAGAGGACATATCATCATCTTTATTGAAACACACAGAAGAATTCACAGTCTGTGAAAAAACAACACATCGGAGGAATTAACTTAGAGTAATCGTTGCATCAGCCAGTAGTATGAAGCTTCACTTCTTGCTGCAAAAGTGTGAATGGCTTCATGGTGGTAACACTCCAAAACTCATTTTGGGTCCCCTCTTGACATCCTGTGTTTAAAAATTCATCACATACAAATCAGTAATACAAAACAGCACCATTTTTTCTGAGGCCAAACCCTTTCACATTCTCATTATATTTGCCTCTACACAGTTCAGAGGCTTGAAAGGCCTAATTTATCCTGGGTAGGCTCAAAACACTAGACACACTGGACTAGGTAGAAACCATATTTCACCAGCTTTTTGAAACCTCCATGCATTCAGTTAGGTAGAGCTGAGAATAGGTTCCACTATGTTTTGTTTAATGATTAATATAAAATATGGTGGTTTTTCTCTTTTTTTGCCTTATTTTTGCAAGAATTTGCTGTAACAGATCTGTTCCTGTGTGCTCTCCCATCCCAAAACCCCCTCATACAGTAATTAATTGTTTTACTCTCTGGGGTTTATTTCCCCCCAGATGTCTGCCCCACTGACAACTAACCACAGGAAAAGGTTTTTAGAACAAGCACTCTTTGATCACACCACACTAAGCTCATGACAACACAGTAACAAGAAACAAAAGCCAATACAGGTGTGAGAAAGAAGAGTCTTCTTTTGTGGTCACTGTCTACGTTAGGCTGCAAAGACTCTTCAGCACTATGAAAGAAAAAGACACATCATTAGCACTTTGAATAATTTAATGCTTGATTTTTATATATAAGAAATTACATTGCTATAGTGTATAGAGCAGAATGCTGAAGACCCCCATTTTTGCAATTTTGTCTGTGTTTTAATTTCCTTCTTCAAATTATTCCCCAGAGAGTAGTAATTACAATGAGTCTTAAAAGTTTCAAGGGCAGAATTGAGATATTTATCTGTAATAAATAGAGATATTTATCTCTACAACTAACCTCTCTGGTTCAAAAAAGAATTCAACACTGATAAAATATTTGTACTCTGTAAATATGCACATACACATCTTATATAAAATTTCAATGACAGTTGTGAAAAATTTACATCATGCATCCCTTCCATATTCTGTCCTTAACCTTATCCCCTGTCCCAAAATTCAGTTGTACAGACAGCAAATGTTTCTCCTCTCAGCTGTGGTATTCTTTCTTCCTGAAGATGAGCAAGTAGATTACAGCTATTTTTCCTTTGTCTAAAATTTTGTGGAGTTAATTAAGGTTAGCAGGAATGACCTCAGATATGCACAATGGGATTTGTAACACTGCATTCTAACCCTAAAAAGGAAAAGAAACTTTGCACTACAGAAAAAAAATATATACTTCTAATATCTAGATTTTTTATTACTTTTCAAAATTTTTCAAAGACTTTCTGAATCCCACCAATAAAATAATTCAAGAAATTTAGGGCAAATAATTGTTCCTATTCAATGAATGGTAATACTTCTGAAATTTTATCATTTTCTTCTTTAATGCTGGTAGCTGGTAATACAAAATGACAGTAAGAGATGAAATCATCTCTAACTCATTTCAGGACTCTCTTCTCTTATGAGTAATTAATCTACCCCAAATTATACTGGTAACCCTTTCAACTCTATTCACCTACTTCATGGGTACATGAATATGCTTATCAGGCATGTTAATATGCATAACAGGCATATATTAACATGCATTTCTTAGTGGAAATTAAATTTCATTGTGCCATTTTGTTATTTTGCCTGGGTAGTAGTGAAGATCACTGACTTCCGTTGAGATTTGGTGCTCACATGCCTGAGTCAATTCTCAAAGTGAGACTCAGGAAGTGATAAGTAGTCAGTACTTATCAAGTCAGTACTTACCATCAAACTACTCAATTAACAAGTAGGTGGGTGGCATCAAACCTGGTATTCTTAAAGCCTACATTAATTTGTTATCAAGGGGAAAAAGCACTGGGATTTATCCCTATACTGTTGCTATTAACTGCTCTGAAATGAGGTTTATTTGCACTGAGGAAAGCAATGAAAGAAAATACAAATTTATCACATAAACACCAATTTCTTCTACAAGGGGTGAAATCCAGTTTCATAAAGAGAAACAGCCAGAGCGCTAAAACAAATCATCTGTCCAAGACAGAAGACACCAAAATATTAGTCTGATAATTAATAAACTGTCTCACACTCAAATAAGTATGGGAATCCCTGTATAATTTCACAGGTTATCTCTTCAGAGTCCCTCTGTTTTCAAATTACTTGACCATTCATACCACATAATGGCCAGTCATTCATAGGATATTTTACATGGTATATTAATCAACTCCCCCACAGATGAAACCAGCAGCAGTGCTCAGAAAAGTCTGACCTTTCCCTACAGGCAAGTGTAACAAAACTCTACTATCTCCACATGCCTTGCACTTTCATGTACCCAAAAGTCCATATAATATATATTCCCTGCCCCTTCCACAGCACAACCCTATACTGTTTCTAAAGGAAATTAATGTTTTAGGACCACCAGTGTATCAGATGGGGGCCAAAGGAGAGCCAATAGGTAAAATGCTAGGAGTTAACCACACTGAAAAAGCTGGAATACTATGTGTTCAGAGGTTGTGAGAATTCTAGAAATAGCTGTAGGCAGGTAGCTCTCAGCCACTTTGTATTATTCTGTAACACTCACTGGAAGAGGTAGATGAACTTGCTTTCCCAGTGTAAATGTACACTGTACTATCTTATTGTTCAGTGTGCCTGAAAATTGGAACATACCTTTCCAGATGCAACTAATATTTTCCCAGACCTTCACATCACCATTTTCTACAATGCTATATCCAACCTCTGAATCATTGGAAGCTAAACTGAAGTGAAAATATGACTGAATTAAGAAGACATTTGAAAAACAGATTTAAGTATCGTGGATAACACCATCCCATCAAAGGACTCAACAGTCATTACATAAAAACCTCAAAACATCCAGTCTCTGGGATGAGAAATTAACAACAAATACAGAATATCAAATCTTATTCAAATCATATTGCTCTAACCTAGAGACTTGAGACATTTTTCTTTCCATAAAGCACGGTTTCACTGCTAATGATCACACACACTTTAACAAAGCTGTTTGAACAAGGCCACATTAGCAATGGAAGAAGGTCCAAACCTGTACATCTGGAATTACTGCCTGGGGGTACCTCTTGTCCTCTTCTGAACTGGCATTTGGGCTAGTGTTATGAGCTTGCAATGATGTTTCCTGGATGCTGTCAATAAATCTACCTGCGAGGGAAGAGCAGTTCCATGGTGCATACAGTGCAGGGCCATTGATTACAGCATGACACCCCTGGATGTCAGAGTCCTCCCTTTAACCAGGCTCACAGACACTCGACTCCATGATCCCATTCCCTAAACCAGTGTTACAATACAAAGTGGAACATAGATACAAGGTATCTCTGAGGAATATGATCTTAAAAATTACATTAGTATTTCCTTGGATATGAAGGAAAGAGATGATGCAGCAAAAATAAGGAAATGGAGAACTGAATCATTAGGTCTTGAACCAAGATTCAAAGACTCAGATCAGCTCATACAGGACAGGAATATCTTCATCAGTTCCTAGTAATATGCATTTCTTCACAATGGTCACTGAGATGAATGCTCTGATGCCAATTTTCTGTTTGTTCTCTAATTCTTTATATATACTAGTGTGGAAATACAGCATATATTTTCATCAGCAACTCAAGATTAGTGCATACTTTCTGTCCAGTGTTTGTGAAATCTGCCCTTCCATTTACAATCTGTGTTACTCTTTTTCAAAATCCTGCTGCAATCATGACAAGAAATGTCTTAGGAAAACATAACTGGAAAAGGAAAATAGAAGTGTTTCTCCTTTATATAGTCCAGCTGTTCTACAGCAGATCTTCAGCTTTGAGAGGCATTTTCTGTATGATATAAACAGACAACTTGGCAGAAAGCTAATCACATTACTTGGATATGTGTCTCTCTAAAATTAGTGCAGACATTTCTTTGGAAAATTGATTGTGTATGCAAGGAAGTAATATTCTGTCTCACAGAGAGACCACACACACTCACTGGTATGTGAGAAGATTCTATTTTCAACAGACTGTTCTCAACAGATCCCATTCCTTTATACTAACAGGCTGCACAAAGTATATAATCATTTATTACTATATCTGAGAAGATAAGTAGATTTTCATATAGTTTTAGCCAAGGCTGACTTTCAAATGGTTTTAGGAAGAACTTATATTTTGGTCACACCACAATGTATTGCAAAGATGTCCATATCACAATTTAGGAAATGGTTGTAGTCCTAGATCCACAACTCTGAACATATTTGATCTAACTCAATTTCTACTTGTAAGTTACAGTATAAATCTAGGTTCACATAGAATCCATATGAACCTCAGGAGGTTCAGTAAGGCCAAGTTCAAAGTGCTGCTCATGGCTCAGGGTAGCCTCAGTATCAGCATAGCCTGGGTGATGAACAGATTGAGAGCAGCCCTGCACTGAAAGATTTGAGGGCACACATGGATTAAAAGCTGGACACGAGTTGATGGAAATGAGCAGTCAGAAAATAAATTGTATCCTGCGCTGCACAAAAACCATGTGGCCAGCAAATTAAGGGAGGTGATTCTGCTTCTCTGTTCCACTCTGGTGAGATCCCACCTGGAATGTGGTGTCCAGCTCTGAGGCCTTCAACACAAGAAAGACCAGCTGGAATGGGTCCAGAGCAGACCCACAAAAGTGATCAGAGAGCTGGAGCACTTTTCTCTGAGGACAGGCTGAGAGAGATGTGGTTGTTCAGCCTGAAGGTGAGAAGGCTCTGGGGAGTCCTTATTATAGCCTTTCAATACTTACAAGGGGCTGATAATAAAGAGAAGTACAGACCTTTTAGCAGGGCTTGCAGTGATGGGACAAGAAGTAATGGTTTTAAATTATAGGAGGGGAGATTGACACTAGGTGTAAGGAAGAGATTTTTTACAATGAGGGTGGTGAAGCAGTGCAATATGTTGCCTGAAGAGGTGGTGGATGCCCCATCACTGAAAACATTCAAGGCCCAGCTGGAGAGGGCTCTCAGCAGCTTGATCAAGTTGCAAATGGACCTCATCATTGCAGGTGGTTTGGACTTGATTATATTTAAATGTCCCATCCAACCCAAATAATTCTATGACTCTATTTGAACAGAACCAACACATACTCATATTCTAAAAGATGTTCTATTATAAGAAAAAATGTTTTCTGTACATTACTTCATGGAAAGAGTTTATCATCTCATCAAAAAAAAAGAGTAGTTACATTCAATTTCTCTGTTGGCTAGGTTGACCTAAGACTATTAAAACAATTGAGTTGTTTATTTTAAGAGATTTAAAATTTACTGACTCTCCAATCAGTTGATGGAGAAGAGCAAGAGAAAAGAAAACACAGTTTCCTCTGCTGGAAGAATTTCAAGACTAGTTCATTTATCAAGAAAATTAAGTGACTGTCCCAAGAATCAGGTTTCCCAGAGTGGTATAAAAGCATGGTCTCTTTCTGACATCCAGAGATGTTCAAGAGTACAACTACTACAAAGCATCAGACAACATCCCTAATTAGTCCATCAATGCTGACATCACCTCCTTTTTTCAGAAGTTCAACTTAATACCATCACAGAAACTTCTCAGTGACGTGAATTAAAGATTATAAAATGCTATAACAAAGACATTAGGTATGCACTTCTGAAACAAGCTTACTCAATAGTTATGGTCAAAAGAGTAATTATGTGAAGACAGCTATTAACATCTTCAAATCAACTTTGGAACTGGTGCAGTCCTAGGAAGGAAGGAACAGGAGAAAGTGTAATCCCTGACTAAAGAGTTCCATCTTAACATTTGAACAGTCACAAGGAGATAGCAGTAAAGTAGAGAAGAGATTTTGACTGTCATATTATGGTAATAGATTTTCTAATGCAAGTACCAATGCTTCACACAAGAAATCAATTTTCCAGTGAAGAGAAGCTTCTTCACTTATGAAAGCAGGTAGATTAAGCATAGATTTATGTCTCAAAAAGGCATGGATACTGCCTAAAAAAGTAAAAAATGGTGTTCCAGTATTCATTACAAAAAATAAACTGATAAAATGTACAGCAATAGAAAATAACACTTAAACAGGAAGTGTTCTGAGGTCCTTGTTTCACATGTTAAGCAGATTCCTTGTATTCTTTCAACATTGACCAAAATCTGACCACCTATTTTAACAACAGTATTCTCAGAAAGGTACTTTTTGGTATTTTTTTTCATAGCACCTCATTCTGTCTGCATGACAAAATCATCAACTACATCCTGAAGAACTGAAGCAATTATCTTCCTCACACACAGTGCTTGTTAAAGCCAGTGGAAAACTGAGTCATTCATGTTCTTCATGCATTTTTCTTACAATGTATGCTTTCTCTCAGAGGTAACAAACCCATCTTGGGGGCTTCATTCATTTAGTTTTGATTTTATTTTACATGACAGTAGCCTAGAGAAAAAGAAGAAAAGCAAAATCAAATAAATGACAAAAAAGTTACTCCTAACTTTTGTCCAGCAGATGTTTCCTAAATGGACATTCTCGTGTTACTGTTATCCATGTCAATAAGGTAGTATCCTCATAACTGATTCCAAGCCAAAGACAAAGTAAAAAACCACATCAGAAAAGCAAATATCCCATCTGTGCATTTGAATATGACATAACTCACCTATTACTTTTCTGTTTCAGCTCTCCTGTTATTCCTTCCTTCCAAACCTGCTGCAGCATGACTGCTAGATAGAGTAGTTTTCATGATAGAGAGTTTCTTAAGCACCTGAGGTGTTACTGGAAAACAGTTTTAATGGAAAAAATTCCTTTTAAAAATATGCATGGGAATATATGTCAAGCTCTTTTTAGAATAACTCTGATTGCATAAGAACAGTACTCAGAAAGCAGATCTGCACACTAAGTGGGACAGTACAAATACTGATATTTGGAGCAGTCACCCTGCTTTCCTTTTGTCAATGAGAAATAGAGATATTTCTACTGCACTATTTATTTTATCCTAAAAGAGATGTCTAAACAAGATCAGATTGATCATTCCCTTTATAAAGAATGCCTGTTTACTACTGCAGCTGATGTCAGGCCTTAGGTTTATTGACTACTTACAGAAAATCCTGCTTGTTAGAAAATTGACATCTAATTTCCCAGGATCATACAGGCTTTCACCACTGCTTGTAGAGGGAGCAAGCAGAACTTTGTTCTAGAAGACGGAAAGACTTCAGACTGTTTTAGTGCCAGAGTTTCTTAGACCTAAGCATTCATTACTGAAAAGCTCTGGTATTCTCCTTAGTAAAAAATAGAATTAAACTTTGTGACCATAATCATAGGAACATGCCCAGAACACTTAGGAGCATCTTTTATTCGTTTTCTAAATATTTTAATTATTAATCAAGAATTCAACAGTGTAAAGCTCCCTACATCTTCCAGGATGCCCTTTGTGGACATGCAGCATGCAAAGCCTTCCCCACTTTCCGCTAGCACTGCTGGAAGCAGGAGTGAGCACTCTCAAAGCTCATTCGACGTTCCATCAGCTCCCTCTGTTGCTGACGGAGAGAAACAGCCTCCCCTAGAATCATGTCTCCTCCAGACGGACTCAGAGTACTGGAAGTTCGGTCTGCGCTCTGAATGGCCCTCTAGTAGATCTCTTCTAAGGTGAGTAGAGTGTGGGTGTCCCCTGGGCAGTGTCCCTTTGTCAATTCATTAATCCTTAGGCATTTGAGAAGAAACAACCACACAAGGAAATTCCTCCTCCCATGGGTGTGCACCACACCAATTCCAGTCCTCCAGACTGTTCTGTAGTTATGACTGGGCCTGCAGGAGCTGCACATACCATAAAGGAGAAGCAGAAGGAAGCAAATGAGAAGCCTCTATGAGCTCTCTTGCCCTTCTGTCAATTGCTGATAACTTTTCCAGACGTGAAGGTGCTGGTGACAACTCTGCGGCTTCTTGCAGTCCATTGGAACTTAAAACCATACCTGTGCATCCCACATCACAGCAAATAAAAAGGCTAGTCTGCCAAAGACACTTCTTGGCTAAGAATGATATCTGTTTTTTCCTCTTTCATTTCACCCCACTTAGTCTCAGCTGTCTATACAGCCTGCTGCCCTAAGCTGTCTGCACACTGGGAAGGGGAGCCATGGGCACAGTTTTCACGACAGCAGCATGTTCCTGTGAGAAAATCACATAATCAGTTAGGTTGGAAAAGACCTCGGAGATCATCAAGTCCAGCATATAACCTAACACCAGCGCGTCAATAGACCATGGTGCTAGGTGCCATGCCCAGTCTTTCTTTAAACACCTCCAGGGATAGTGCCTCCACCACCTCCTTGGGCAGCCCATTCCCATGTGTAATCACCCTTTCTGTAAAGAAATTCCTTCTAATGTCCAACCTAGACCTAATGGCTTGAGGCTATTTCCTCTTGTCCTGACACTGGTTGCCTGGAAGAAGAGACCGACCCCCACCTGGCCACACTCTCCTTTCAGGCAGTTGGAGAGAGTGACAGGGTCTCCCCTGAGCCTCCTTTTTTTTCTCCAGGATAAACACCCCCAGGTCCCTCAGCTGCTCCTCACAGGATTTGTGCGGCAGACGCATCACCAGCCCTGTTGCCCTCCTCTGGACTTGCTCCAGTACTTCAGTGTAAATTTTAAAAATGAGCGGATGCTGTCCTGGAGATTGCTCTGCCTGGGCAGCCTGTGCAACAGGCTGCAGGTCTGCACTGCTGGACCCTCGGCAGCGGGAGAAGAGAAACACCGACGCTCATCTCGCACAAAGGCTCTGCCTCAGGTTCTTTCAGAAATCCCTGCCGGAGGCCATCCTCCGCATGGTCGTGTTTCTCTGCCGCTGACCTGGCGGGGCGTGCCGCTGCTCTGGGGCTCCGCGGAGCCGCTGCCATCGTGTGCCGGCAGCGCCGCGCCTCCGCCGCACCGGGCGCTTCCAACTGCAGCGCCCTGTCCACTCCCAGCCTGCCACCTGCACGCACGACACGGCACCAAAAACCCAGACTAGCCAAGGCTTCATGTCAGCCTGTTCTAGTTCGCGCTGGTTTTAGTTCTGCCGTGCCCCTGCCTAAGAGCAGCAGCCGCGGATGCTGGCCTGAGCACAGCTCCAGCAGGCAGTCAAACGTGCCAAGAGTGAGCAGACAGAGGAAAATAGTGCAAATCAAATGTTTCTGTTCAGATATGTATAGCTGAATCAACACTAGTACAGAAAGCTGTGGGAATCCAGGGCTTCCCTCTGGCTGCCCTGGAGGGCCTGGGACCCTGGCAGGGGTCAGGAACCCCCCTGTACAGAGCCCCAAGAGGCACTGGCTGTGATCTCTGTCCATGGAAAAGAGTTTTCAATCTTACAGGATGAATTACCAGCTCTGAGTGTTTGATATGAGTAATAATTAAGTGTGACATGGGTGCAAAAGTAAAATTTTAGGTTTCTAGATTAGGGGTTCAAAGGGGACAAGATGGAGGAAATTGGGTGTATCTTGTCCTTTTCCTCCTTCTTCATGTCCTCCATGTTTCACTGTGGTGTTGGCATTTTTCTATTGACTTAGGCTGGGGACACATTGTTCAATGTAGATGATAGATATTGCACATTATTGTAAATATAGCACACGTAGTTTCTGGTATATAATGTTTGTACCATCCCACTGAGAGGCAGAGCCCCACACGCTGCCCTGCAGGACAGACCTGCAGCAGGGCAGCAGAACATGTTAGAGATAAACAGAATAAACAACCTTGAAAACAGAACAGACAAATTATGGCTTCTTCTTTGGCAACGGGGCAGAAAGACAGAGATTTTATACAATCTCGGAATCATCAATACCACGGATCCCGACAGAAAGCCCGTGGCAGGGAAGAAAAAAATCACAATAAAAGACCAAAACCAAAACCAAACAAAAAACCTACATTTGTGTCACTTATGCACTAAATCACTACATCACTGGCCTTTGACCATCTAAGGCACTTTCAGCCACATAGCAACATAGGTTTAGGGGTCTGGTGGTTCCTGAGAGAGGGACTGGTTGTCTGCCTGGAACCAGGCAAGTTCTCTGATCTCCACCCATAAAAAAGGACTTAGATCTCTTCTGATTTCTGAACCTTCTTACCACCACTGCACTTACTCATGTCATTACTTATAATGTTATCTTGTACTTTTTAATATCTTAAGGGCTACTAAGTAAAGATTAAATTGGTCTTTTTATTTGCATTTGTTCAAATTCACTCATAGAGCAATTTGTGTCAGAAAACCCTAAAACCTGAAAAACTATCACGACTTAAAATGTAAGAGCCCAGACAATATTAAACAACATGTTTTGGTTTCCAGACAGATTTTGAACAAGGTTTTATTTGAGAGTAACTAAAGGAGACACAGTTAATACAATGGGCTTCTGGGTAATTATTAGGTACACCAGGATTATAATATATTAAGTTTTATTAATTTGTTTTATTTTGTTCTGAAATAATATTAGATGCAAATTGCAAACACTTGAGATGTAGCTTAGACATCAGGATGTTGGATGGATTTTCTGTAACCAAACACATTTGTTCTTGCCTTTAAGGTCAGCTTAGTCACCTGTGCTTGCTTGTTGAGTACAGCTTTGTTCATTTCAGCACAGAAGTCGGTGTGTTTTCTTCCCTACCATCAAAACACCATGACCATGCTCACAGGCCTCACTGCCAGGCAGAGACAAAGCCTAACATGTCCTCATATACAAATACTGAAATTTCACAGTGTCTCCCAAGCATCCCTCTGTTCTGTAGTACAGTGTGAAATTGTTCCTATAATCTTGTTAAACAAAATGAATGCTGTTTTTGACTATTTAGAGATTATAGAAAGAGTTGAACATACCACTATGATATTGTACAAATCAATGATACTGGTAGTAATGCTGAACTCACTAAAAAGGAAGAAACAACCAGATTCCAGGTTTTACATTCAGAAAAGCCTCTTCTATTTCCATCCTTTAAAATGCATCACCTAAGTGCAGCTAAAAATCAGGGTGACAAAGAAAACCAACTGAGACAGAAATTACTCTTCAATGGTAGTTTGCACTGGGAGGGAAAGTGAGTAAGCAGAGACTCACAAGCAACAAAACACCACAGGAGCTTGGCTTTTTCAGCTGATTCTTCTCTCATGCATACCTTCAATCTCAGTACAACTCGTTGCCAGGTAGCCAGTAGCAATTCAGAAAGCAACCCATTTTCCATTATCATCCCCACTCTCAATGCAAAAAAAAAAAAAAAAAAAAAAAAAAAAAAATTAAAAAAAAAATTTTAAATCCACATTATATTATCTTCCTTTTTGACAGCCTATTACCAAGAGTTTCTCTCTGCTCCATGTGCTGAATATAGTATTACACAGCTATCTGTGATCCCACAGCAGTTGATGAGATGCAGTGCTGAGTTTGTAAACAGGGTGGCTTCAGCCATCCTGCCTTTTTTCTACCTGAAAAGCTGTCCCCCGAAATGCTTCTCCAAGTCTGCTTGATAGCACAGCTGCTTCCCTGCTTCCTGCAGAGCAACTCCACCAGAGGTCAGGATGTGCTGGAGCTGCACTACAAACTCATTTTTGTCCCCAGCAGCTCTCAAGACAGTGCAGACACACTTTGGAGTATCCCACACAGGTCAGTTAGACAGAGCAATCAGCCTCCTTAGGTGATAGTTAGACCCTTTTCATTCATTTCTTCTCTCCCCTTTTAGCCCTCTTCCCCTCCTCAAAAGATCCCGATACTTTACACAAGTGCTCAGAAGCCCAGCAGGCACTGTGGCGTGTAACAGCTCTTCTGCAACAGGGACAAAAATGAGCAGCTCGTTCTTTCCGGTCTGAGCTGAGAGTCTCATATTTCAGCTCCTCCTTCACATTCCAGGCCTGCCCAGGCTCCTCTCCAAAGATTTCAAAAATGGAGCCTCTCACAACTAGTTATCCTCTGAAATACTCAGTGCACAAAGCCAGGATCTTTGTTGTCTTCCTGTCAATGCTTTTGTGCACCACCATCCTCTGCCTGCTGCAACTCAGGTTTTTTAAACCTAAAATCAAAGATTTTTATTCTTTTGAAGTCAAGGATTCACGAGGAAGAATTATTTCCTTGGAGAAATACAGAGGGAAAGTAAGTTATTATTTCACTTTTTCTGTCTTGAATCCAAACTGACAAAAAATGTGTATGTTTCTAGGTAAATAAAAGGCTTGGTTATGGGAGTTTTTGGCAGAGATTTGTACTAAATTCCTGTTCTTCATACAGGAAGAACAGCAACCAAGTATTAGATCTAACAAATCAAGAAAATAAATTATCAATAAGTCAATACAGCCTAACAGGCAAATTGATGGATTTTAATCTTATAAGAATGTTGGTTTTGGATTTTGGAGGTTTATCTAGGGAATATTATTTTAGTGCATGTCCTAAATATCCGCTTTTTAAAATGCTTATATATTAACAAAGCTGTAAGATGGCGTTTATGAGTTTACTGTATTTTTAAAACAGATTGTCTGAAAGTAAATATCTTCAGCTGCTTTCATCTTTATTTGTTTAATCAAATGATGATCAGAGACATTATGTTAAGCCTTCTAACAGAAACCATCATGATAATGAGAAATGACATTTTAATATTTGTGATCTCTACAACACCTATAGGCTTTTTCCTTACTAAACTAAACAATAGCTAATAACTAAAAAGCTAATAACTAAATTATTCTAACTTTATTTTTCTGAAGGCAACTTTGGTTGTAAACGTGGCCAGTTACTGCCAATACACAGAAAAAAATTACATCGCACTGCAAGAGCTGCACAGAGAGTTTGGTCCCTCCCACTTCACTGTGCTGGCGTTTCCCTGCAACCAGTTCGGAGAATCAGAGCCTAGTTCAAGCCAGGAAATAGAATCTTTTGCCAAAGGAAACTATGGAGTTACATTCCCTGTTTTCCACAAAATCAAGATCCTAGGATCAGAAGCAGATCCCGCCTTTAAATTTCTAATAGGTAACTGGTTTATTTTATGTATCAAGCTGCTTGTAACCATGGCACTCTCATTGAATCCAGGCTGCATGTTTTTTCAGGAAACACTGAAGTCTTCATAAACTATAGAGAGAAACAGGCACTTAGCATACAATTACTCTCATTTCAATTTGGATATCAACAATGTGGGCTAAAGAATTGTATCCTGAAAGCATCAGTTTTTCATCATAAAAACAGTCTCCTCTGACCAGCCCAGCTGGAAACATCCATTTTGTTAGAAATACTAGAGCTAGGAACTCCCACATACAAAATCCCATTCCAAAGTATGTGATTTTTATTTTAAAAATACTTTTCTTATAGCCAAAAATGTAGTTATGGGAGTCATAAAATTACCAGAAGATTTTATATAAACATGTGCAGATGAGATTTTTAGCTGGGTCTTTTGTCCACCTTTATGTAAACTGTATTGTAAAGCATGTTTATATATACTAGTTATATATAACCACTGATTTGTATTAATTTGTCATGTCAACTTCAGGACCAAGCCTGAAAAATCCTGCATGAATACATGGAGCATTTACAGACTTAGAACCTCAAATTCTCATAAGCAAAATTAAATTCTCTGTCCCTTCAGTTGACCAAAGAACTCATAGACTCAAAGCCAACTTGAAAAGCCTTTCCGAATTTTCCTGAGCTTTGATTAGGTTTTGAACTATATTGATATGTGAAGGAAAAAAACAGCTTAAACATAGCCCATTTCTAACACACCATTTTACCCATAAAATAAAGTAGCAGGGAGCCCAAACCTGTATTCCATTTCCCTGCCTTCAGAGTCTGTGAATAGTGCCTCTTGTCAGAGTACTATTTCAATATCTAAATGAAATCTTTCCCAGAGCTCTTGTGTGCTTTATCCCCCATGATATTTCCTATGTACTTGAAAATTGTTTTTATTGAGGAATCATTTAAGTGGCCACCATTGCCATTGTAACTGTGTTTGTTTCTACCTCCTCTTAGGCATGCAAGTAAAAACCTCAGGTAACTTTAATGTCCTGAGTTTCCAGATGTCCAGTGAAATTAT